TTACTGTGTATAAACATACAAATATTACTGTGTATAAACATACAAATATTACTGTGTATAAACATACATACATACACTGTGTATAAATATACAAATATTACTGTGTATAAATATACACATACACTGTGTATAAATATACAAATATTACTGTGTATAAACATACATATACACACTGTGTATAAACATACATATATACACTGTGTATAAATATACAAATATTACTGTGTATAAACATACAAATATTACTGTGTATAAATATACACATACTATATAAATATACAAATGCACTGGGTATATGTATATAAATATACTGAGCATAAATATAGAAATACACTATAAATACACAAATACACTGTGTACAAATATACAAATACACTGTGTATAAATATACAAATACACTGTGTACATGTATATAAACCAACCATCAGTGGACCAGGAAAGTGTTTAAATGTGTTTAAAGTAAATTCTAAACTTTGACAGTAAAAAGTTTGAACTAAATTAACAAGCTAATGTTGTTAGCATTAGTCACAGCTAGCATTAGCATTTCTGATGTTGTTAGCATTAGCCACAGCTAGCATTAGCATTTCTGATGTTGTTAGCATTAGCCACAGCTAGCCTGCTGTGTTGGCTGACGGTCTGTTTACACCTGACCAGAACCTCTACCTTAAGTGTTGTTTCAGACCTAAAGCGAGTCAGATTCAGGTTCAGGTTCWGGWYCTGGACCTGGTCCTGGTCCCGTACCTGGTCTCCTGCAGCCACTGGTGGAAGGCGTTAGCGTGCTGAGCAAACTCCTGGCGGAGCTTATCGTTCTCCTCCTGCCTCCTCTGCTCCTTCTGCAGCTCCAGCTCCCTCTCCTGCTCAAACAGAACCGGGTCAGTGTGCAGAACCTTCATCAGAACCTGGGTGAGTCAGGAAGAGCAGCAGAACCTTGATGATCTTCTGCAGGTTCCTCCAGGTCTCCTCCAAGGCCTCCATGGTGAACCAGGTGTAGGGGTTGGAGGCCATCTGGTAGCTCTTGATCTGCTGGTCCAGCTCGGCCAGCTGGTTGAAGTCGGCCTGAGCAGAACTCAGGGAGGACCTGAAGGCCTCGTGGGCCTCTCTCAGGGCCCGGATCTCCTCCAGAGAGTTGCACCTCACCGGGTCCGTCAGGTCCTCCTCGGCGTTCTCGAACCAACTGTTGAAAGCCGAGGCCTTCTTAGCGAAGGTCAGGAACAGGTCCTCCACCTGCGGGGACAGAACCAGGGTCAGAGTCTGCAGGGCCTGATCAGGTCCACCAGAGTCCAGCTGGAGGTCTGACCTTCCTGAAGTGGTCCTGGGCCTCCAGCAGCTTCTTCTTGCGAGCAGCAGAGTTGGACAGCAGCTGGTTCCAGCGTTTGATGAGAGCAGCGTGACGAGCCTCGATGGCTCTGGACTGGACGTGCTGAGCAGCCAGCAGCTGGTCCTTCAGGGCCGTGATGTTCGTGATGCCCTCCTGCTGGAAGGCCTGCAGGCCTGCGTCAAACGTCTCCTGCAGGGGGGAGGAGGAGTCAGAGCAGAGGGGGAGGAGTCAGAGCACAGGGGGAGGAGTCAGAGCACAGTGGGGGGAGTCAGAGAACACAAAGAGGAGGAGTCAGAGAACACAAAGAGGAGGAGTCAGAGAACACAAAGAGGAGGAGTCAGAGCACAGGGGGAGGGGTCAGAGTACAGGGGGAGGGGTCAGAACCGACCTGTTTGGTGAGCAGGGTCTGCACAGAGGACAGGTCTCTGCCRTAGTCGTCGGTCTTCAGGCTGTTCTCCTTCTCACCTGAGGAGGAACCAGAGCAGGAGGTGAAATAACCTGGAGTGTAGAACAAGCTCGTGTCCTCTGCTGAGGAGAACTGTGTGTCTGTAGACGCCAGAGGTTCTGGTACCGATCCAGGACTCCACCACATCAGCCTTCCAGTTGAACTGCAGGAAGGCRGAGTTCTCGTCCAGCTTGGCTTTCCTCTGAGCCGCCGCTCGCTCCAGCTCCGACACCTTCCACCTCAGAGCCGACATCTTGGCGCTGATGTTGTCCACGTGATGGTTGTTCTGGATCAAACACATCAGATGGATCAGACGGGTCAGAACCGGTCTCTGAAAGGCTCTAACGGGTCCCGGGTCAGTACCTTCTTGATGAGCTCGTCTCCGTTGGAGCAGACGTCGTTGACCCGGTCTCGGTGGACGGTGAAGTCCGTCTCAAAGGCTTCATGTTTCTTCAGCAGACCCTGAGGAGAGGAGGTGTAAACTCAGCAGAACTCTTGGTGGAAGGTTCTGGTTCTGAAGGGGAATGTTGGGTCAGAACCTGCACAGCAGCCAGCGTGTCTCCGTAGTCCTCGCTCCCGACCAGGTTCAGCTTCTCGTTGATCCAGGCTTCTTCCTCCTCCACGTTGGCCACGAACTGCTGGTACTCCAGAGACTCCTCCAGCCTCTTCCCTCTGCAACACAACARGTCCTGAACCTGGTTCTGACCCTTGGTTCTGGTCCAGACGTGTCTGAAGGCTCACCTGGCTCCAGACAAGTCCTTCAGCTCCTTCCAGTGCTCCACGAACTGAGCCAGTCTCTGCTGGATCTCCTCCTGACCGATGGTGTTGTCATCAGACAGCT